TCAACCGTGCGCGTGGTAAACATGCCACCTGCCATTACACCACCTCCGCCTGCTTCAAATAATATCTAACGTTTATTACTCCTTGTGAGCGTAATATGAAATGGTTACCGCACGGATGTGAAGTATTTGTGTAAGTGGACTCGCAAATGGGGGATGTGAAAAAACTAGCTGGCCTTCAGTGTGAAAGCTTCAGAAAAGAACATCTAGGCCATATATAGAGCACTCCTAGTGGTCCGACTCAGGTTTTTATAAAGTGGCGAAAGTAGATGCATGAAAAGATTCCCAGTTTTAGGCTTGCTGTGGAATCAGGTCCCGAATTCGACGGGGTGCCTCTTGAGAACGCCGTCTTGGGATGTGGAGTCCACAACTTACACATTTATGACAGGAGCATGGTTATGGGTCCTATACCTTACTGGAACATCACGCTACGAGAGGTTAGAATCATTATTGCTACAAAAATTTCTGTCGATTTGTTTAGTGCTGACACGTGTGGAGAACCGCATAGCTTATTTACAGCCTCAATAAATATTTTTACTTTTGAGGGTACATTCACTATACAGCGAGATGACATCGTGGACGATTCCAACGAGAAATGCAGCCGTTTTCCCATCGCTGTTGATTCTGGTCAGTACTCTTTAGGCGTGAATGGCGAGACCATTTGCCTTAAATGTGACGAACAAATGGAGGGAGCTAACTGGAGGGTCACGTTACGAAAGTTTGGGGGGGGGAGGGAAGGCTCGATATCAAGCTACGATAGAACCACGATGAGCCAAAGTACAATTCCAGCTTCCACTATCCTTAATTTGCTGCCGAGCCGGTAAAACATGAACTTTGAGTATACAACGCGATTCAACCTCTAAGAATGAACCCCTCTTCGGGCAGCCCGAAAGTGCCCAGGAAGCGGTCCTGCACGCCATATTGCCTTACTCTGTAATCACTCCATAGCCAGTGGCAAGTTGTCCAAATCGTTCTTGAAGGAGTGGCAAATCGACTGCTGGAGCGGCCGCGCGTTGTCAGTTGTTAGTGGTGCAAGGCTGCGAGAGGGGTTTAGCCACCCCTCACTCAGCCCTTGCACCAATGACCTTGGCGGTGACCGCCCGCCCCTAGCAAGCGAGACCGGCTTGTCCTAGCATTGTTTTTGAACCAGTTACTGACGATAGGCTGTGTCATCAAGTTTTAGTTCCTTGCTAATTTAAGCTGTCAGGAGCACTTGAGAACCGTTTTCGTTTTTTCTTGGTTTTTTTTCAATGTTCGGAGCAAATATCATACGCGATGTTTTACTGTCCTGTCACGTTCGTTAGAATTTTGGTGTTTTCCCCTGGAAATTGCGTGTCGAAGTCACAAGACAAAATGATTGTGGTTATGCCTTGCTCGAAGACAGCGTAGCCCACATCCATTCCTTCCTCTTCTTCCAAGCTTTGATCTGCGCCGTTGCGAAGTCCGCTGCTGCTGTTAGACGTCACCATTTTCTCCTATACGAAATCTTTTGTCGGGATGAGGGGGGGATGGGGGAAGATCTGGTCTGGTCTCGACCCCAGTGAGATCCTTGATGGCCTCCTTTCATCGCCTTTGAGGGCTCCTCGTGGTCGCTTTCTCCCATTCGTTGGATACAGCACTGAAGCCATCACAGAATTTTGCCATATCCTACCGGCACAAGGCTAACTGCTGTTTGAAAGAAATTATTTTTTTAGGAAAGCGCATATTTGCGCGTCTGCGCGACGATCACTCATTAGTCGTCTACGATCCCAATACGAAGAAATGGTCACCGTACTTCCTCTCTCCAGAATCACATCTAAATGTAATTCTATTGACCACCCATACATACGCGAAGCTTCAAAGAATCCTAGTTTTCCTTTTTAGTTGGACTCGCTGAACATACGAGGTCTTCATGAAACATTTGGACGAGCCGGTCATCGAATGGGTGCTATCGAATCTCCGCTTTCTGTCTATTCAGACGGGCCTGTGGTTGTCGCGAGGATAAAGCGTCATCAGAAGCACTTCTTCTATAGGGTCACTTTCGGTAAGTGTAATCTATTATTGCACGAAAACAAGTGAAAAAGCCTACGGTTCGAATAAGATGCCCCTGGCCGATCTCAATTTAAGGTTTTTGATACTTCTGTGTTGTTATATGATTTCCAACTTCTCTCTTCATTAAAGCTCGGCATTACCATAAACATTGCATCTGCAGTTTTTTTGTTTTGGTTTTTTTTGTGTTAAAGAGATTTCTAGGTGGAACCCTTTTTTAATGAATTTGGCCCGACTTACCGTTAGTAGAACATGTGAATGTAGCGCGCCTGGTTCGCAGTGATGCGGAGATTTCGGAACTTTTTATAATCATACGCAGTTGATCTTTTTTCAATGCAGTCCTGGATTT